TAACAAATATTCAGGAAAGAGCTGAAACCAATCCTACTAAAACTATTCTAAAACATAGAAAAGGATGGAACACTGCTGCCAAATTCATTTTATGAAGCAAGTATAAATATAACCCTGATACCAAAACCAGGCAAAGACATCACTAATAAGGAAAATTACAGACCAATATTCCTCATGGATATAGACACAAAAATCTTCAACAAAATCCGGAATTATATCAAAAAATTAATACATCATGACCAAGTAGAATTCATAGCAGGTACACAAGGATGGTTCAACATTAGGAAAACAATTGAGGCAATCCATTACATAAATAAAACAAAGGGAAAGAACCACATGATCACATCAGTAGATGCAGAAAAGGCATCTGATAAAATCCAACATCAATTCCTGATAAGAACAGTCAGCAAAATAAGAATAGAAAGGAAATTCCTCAACAAAATAAAGGGCATATATGCAAAACCAACAGCCAACATTATTCTCAATGGAGAGAGACTGAAACCATTTGCCTTGCGAACATGAACTAGACAGGATGCCCTCTATCACTTCCTCTATTCAACATTGTATTAGAGGTCCTAGCCAGGGCAATAAGGCAAGAAAGGGAAATAAAAGTCATCCAAATTGGCAAAGAAGAAGTAAAACTATCCCTATTTGCAGATGATATGATCCTATACATAGAAAGTCCCAGAGACTCAGCAAGAAAATTACTGGAACTAAGAGAAGGATTCAGCAAAGTGGCAGGATACAAGATCAACATACAAAAATAATTTGAATTCCTCTACACCAACAATGAGATCTCTGAGAAAGAAATAAGGAAAACAATACCATCTACAATAGCTAATTAGGAAGATAAAATACTTAGGAATAAATCTTAGCAGGGACATAAAAGACTTATACAAAGAAAACTACAAAACACTACCACAAGAAACTGTAAGACTGAAAAAAAACCAAACTCACTGCTATCGAGTCAATCTGACTCATAATGACCCCTCCTTGAGTTTCCGAGGCAGTATCACTATGGAAGTAGATTGCCCAGCCTTCCTTCCAAGGAGTGGCTGGTGGGTTTGAAACACCAGCCTTCTGTTAGCAGTCAAGTGCTTAGGCACTATGCCACCAGACCTTCTAGAAACTATAAGAAATCTACATAAACGGAAGAACATACCAGAGTTAGACTAAACATTGTGAAATTGTCATTACTACCTAAATCAATCTACAAATTTAATGTAATCCTGATTTAGCTTCCACCATCATTCTTTAAGGACATGGAAAAACCAAGCACTAATTTTATATGGCAAGGCAATACAATATTTACCTATAAGTAAAATACTACTGAAGAAGAACAAAAGAGGAGGTTTCACACTCCCCAATCTCAAAAGCTACCATACAGCCACAGTAGTCAAAATAGCCTTGTATTGGTACAATGACAGACACATAGACTGGTGGAACAGAATTGAGAACCCAGAAATAGATCCATCAACCTATGGACAACTGGTCTCTGACAAAGGGCTGAAACCCATCAAATGGGAAAGAGATAGTCTTTTTAACAAACAGTGCTTGCAAACCTGGATATCCATTTGCAGAAAAATGAAACAAGATCTATACCTCACACTATACACAAAATCTAACTCAAGATGGATCAAAGACCTAAATGTAAAACCTAAAACCATAAAGTTTATCAAGGAAAAAATAAGGGCAAACTTAGAGGTCCTAGTCTATGTCATAAATAGACTATCAAACATAATTGAAAATGCACAAACATCAGAAGATAAACTAGATTACTGGGACCTTTTAAACATTAAATGCTTATGCCCATCAAAAGACTTCAAATAAGAGAACCTACAGGCTGGAAAAAATATTTGGCAACAATGCATCTGACAAGAGACTTACTTCTAAAATTTATAGAAAACTTCAATATCTTAATATAAAAAAGACAATTCAATTAAAAATGGGCAAAGGATATGAACAGACACTTCACTAAAGAAGATATTCAGGCAGCCAACAGACACATGAAGAAATACTTGTGATCATTATCCACTAGAGAGATGCAAATCAAAACAACCAGGAGATATCATCTTACCCCAGCCAATAACAGTAAAGTTCAACAAGACAGAAATCAACAAATGCTGGCAAGATTGTGGAGAGTTAGGAACTCTCATACACTGCTGGTGGGACTGTAAAATGGTACAACCACTGTGGAAGAGGGTATGGTGCTTCGTTAAAAAGTTATGAAATATAAATACCATTTGATCCAGCAATCCCATTATTAGGTATATATTCTAAAGAAGTGAGAGCTGGGACAGAAACAGATACATGCACACCCATGTTCATTGCAGCACTAGTCACAACAGCAAAGAGATGGAACCAACCTAAGTGCCTGCGGTAGTTGAACTTGCGTGTCAACTTGGCTGGGCCATGACTGAGTGGCTTGGCAACTGGAAGTAGTTATTTGCCAAGATGAGACTGGATGTGATGTAATCACCTCCATGGTGGAATGTGCTGTCAGCAGCTAATTATTTGAAGGGGAGTTGCGTTTGAGGTGTGGCCTGCTTCCTATATACATGGAAAAGCTTGGGGAAAGGTCTCCAGCTTTCTGCTCATTTTGGATCCTGCTTTTGGCCCGTCATCGTCTCCAGTTCCTGGACCTGAACCAGTGACCTGCTGTGTTGCCTGCTGATCCTTCACCCCTTGCAGCTTCATTTGTCAGGAGAAGCCTCCAGCTTGCTCCACTGGGCCGGGAAGGCAGAGCTGAACCCAAGGTCGAGGATCCTCCACCCAGCCTCTAGGGCCATCATTCTGTATTCAGACTTCTAGCCTCCTAAACTGTAAGAGACTAAATCTCCGCCCATCAACAGATCAATGGACAACCAAACTATGGCACACTCACACAAGAATACTATTCAACATTGATGGAAAATGAAGAACCTATGAATCACCTCATAATTGGATGAACTTAGGTGACACTATGCTGAGTGAAATAAGCCCATCACAGAAGGAGTCCATTATTGTAAAAAGTCAAAGAAAGGTTTATATATGGAAGGAAACATTCTTTGATGGGAGCTCTGGCAGCATAGTGCTTAAGGCTTTTCACTGCTAACCAGAAGGCTGGCAGTTCAAACCCACCAGCCACTCCTTGGAAGGAAGACTGGGCAATCTATTTCTGTAGAGATACCGCCTTAGAAACCCAAGGAGGAGTCGCTATGAGTCGGACACAACTTGACTACAGTGAGTTTGGGTTTTTTTTTTTTTCTTTCTTTTTTTAGAGATGCCTTAAAAGAAAGGCATGTCAAGTCTACTTTCCCTGGAAACAGGAGCAGGGTCTCAGCAGCAAATTTTTTTTAAAAAAATTTTTTGGTGTAGAAACAATACAGATAAAATGTTTGTTTGTTTTCAGTCTCTTTAACCACCAATGCTAAGTATTATCAAGAGATACAAAAGAAAAGGCATCTGAAAAAATAAGAAACTGTCATAGCCTTGTGATGAACATTTTTCATTCAGTAGAAATACAGCCACTCCTCAGAAGGAAAATGGGGCAATCTACTTCCACAGTGATATTGCCTCGGAAACCCAAGGAGGGGTCGCTATGAGTCGGGTCCGACTCAATGGCACATAACAACAACAACAACAACAACAGGAGTACAGCTACAAGTTCAAAAAAGCAAAGATGATACTTTGATGACTAAGGCATGCCTGATCCAATCACGGTCTTCTCAATTGCTTCACATGCATGCAAAAGCGGAACAATGAAAAAAGAAGACAGACGAATTGATGTGTTTGAACTCTGGTGTTGGCTAAAGATACCGAATACCGGGACTTTAGAAGAACAAACACATCAGTCTTAGAAGAAATAAAATGGAAATGCTTTTGAGAAGTGAGGTGGGTGTTCTGGTTCCCTAGTGCTGCTCTGACAGGAACATACCACAAATAGGATGGCCTTAACAAACAGGAGTTTATTCTCTTACAGTTTGGCGGCTTTAAGTCCAAGTTCAAAGTGCCAGGCTCTAGGGACTGAGTGAAAGCCCCTCAACCTTGAGGTTCAGCTCTGCCTCCTGCTCCCAGCCCACTGGAGCTGTAGGCGTTTCTTCACTCAGACAGCTGCTGGCTGCTGAGACTGACAAACCCAAGATTGACAAGTAAAAACGCACAGTCCTGATGTTACCAAACCACATGGCAGGTCACCAATTTAATTCCATTGAAAGTCCCAAGGTCAGCAGAACATGGCAGGCTGCTGAACAATGACACGGCTACATGCAGGGTTCAGGTGAGTCATTAGCTAGAGACCATTCCCCAAGACTTCTTGTATACAGGAAGCAGACCACATCCCTAAGGCAGCTACTGAGCTGCTCACAGTAGATTCCACCATGGAGTTGATTACCAGTGTCATCATGGGGAATACTACATCAACTGCCCAGTCACTCAACCAGCCCAGCCAAGATGACACACAGACTGAACTACCACAGGTGGGTTAGACTCTGTCTTGCTCACTTTGAGCACATCCTCAGGAAAGACCAATTGCTAGAAAAAGACGTCCTGATTGGTAGAGCAGGGAGCCAATGAAAATGAGGGAAACCCTCAGTGAGATGGACTGACACAATAGCTCCAACAATGGACTCAAACTCACCAATGACCATGAAGATGGTGGAGGACCAGGGAGGGTTTTGTTCTGTTATCCTTAAGGTTGCCATGAGTCAGTGCCCACTTGACAGTAACTAAAAACAACAACAATAGCTAAAAGGGCTCAGATCTTTCTGGGGTATTTAATCACTGGAAGGATCGAGGGCAGGCAGAGATGGACCCCAATTCCCACCAGGCTATTCTTACCACAGAGCACATCAATATGCCATCATGACGTCATAGCCTGATCTACTAGACCACCTGTATGTGAGCAAAAACTTAAAGCAGGAACATGTAACAGAAATGTATGAAAAACTCTCATATTACCAGGTCTGATGTCAAAGAAGATCAGAGAACCTCAATGAAAGAAAGTTCATGTCCTTTCTTACCTCAATAACATATAACACCATGTTCTTGTAGAAACAGTACAATATGCATTTGGTCACTCGAATATAGTTCCAAGATCCATGAACCAACAGAAGCTTCTCCAAGTAACTAAACTAAAAGACAGAAACAACAATTGATTCAAGTTCAAAGTACGCTACTCTTTAGTGACAAAAACACACAAAATGGCATTTTCTCAGTATTTCAACCCTCAGCAGGTCCCAATGTATGGAGTACAACACAGAAGGCAAGCAGAACAAAACTAATTCTGCAGACAACTGACACGGCAGCCCACTCCAAGGGAACTGTGGAAAGCTCATATAATTATCTTCTCTGAAAGTGCAAACAAACACAGATCATAGCTTTTATGCTCCTAAATGGTGCTTCAGGAGCTCTGGTAGCATAGTGCCTAAAGCACTTGACTGCTAACCAGAAGGCTGGCGGTTCAAATCCACCAGCCACTCCTCAGAAGGAAGATTGGGCAATCTACTTCTGTAGTGATACTGCCTCGGAAACCCAAGGAAGGGTCGCTATGAGTTGGGTCTAACTCAACAGCACGTAACAACAACAAATGGTGCTTCATTTTTTTAGTTGTCCTGTGCATTTTATCTGATACACATTTAGGAGCTTGGTCATGAGAAAGGATAGGATTATTTAGTGAAAGGGACATCATAGGAGAAACAAAAAACTCAGGCCCACTCAGTAATCTTTCTGGGTCTGCTGAAGTAACTAGGAGCTCTGGTGGCATAGTGCCTAAGGCATTTGACTGCTAACCAGAAGGCTGGTGGTTTAAACCCACCAGCCACTCCTTGGAAGGCAGGTTGGGCAATCTACTTCCATAGTGATACCGCCTCGGAAACCCAAGGAGGGGTCGCTATGAGTCGGGGCCGACTCAACAGCACATAACAACAACATAAGTAGGGAGCTCTGGTAGCGTAGTGCCTAAGGGATTTGACTGCCAACCAGAAGGCTGGCAGTTCAAACCCACTAGCCACTCCTCAGAAGGAAGATTGAGCAACCTACTTCCATAATGGTACCACCTCAGAAACCCAAGGAGGGGCGCTATGAGTGGAATCAACTTGATGGCAGTGAGTTTGCTTTTGGTTTTTGGTTTAACATAAGATATACTTTATTGTTATTATTATTATTACTGTTTATTGTTTTGCCTCCCCTCCATGATGGCAGGAGTCCCTGGTTGGTGCCAACAATTAAGCTCTGAGCTGCTACCCAAAAGGTTGGTGGTTCAAGTCACCCAGAGATGCCTTAGTAGTAAGGTGTGGCAATCTGTCTCTGGAAAGTCAGCCATTGAATATTCTACATAGCACAGCTCTACTCTGACAGTCATGGGGACACCGTGAATTGGAGTCGATTCAACAACAAGGTTTCCTTCAGTAATGATTGGGATGACAAATCTAATGGACATCTCCAGTCCCCCAGATCATGAGCCTGTCTCTATTTGTCGATTAAGAAACAGGTGTATTAATGGGAATTTCCTTTAAGATGATGGAAATTTTGCCCAGGAAAGATGGAAAAGGAATGCTATTTAGGGACCATTTCTTGGTTTAGGAGCTATCACTTTACAAATGAATAAAAGATAACACTGCTTTGGTGAGCAACTTGCTTGGCTCCTGATTTTAGGATGACCAAAGGATGGCAGCTGTTCCCAGAATCAGTTCATGGCAGCTGTGCCTGGCAATTGCCACGGTCATACACATGATGTACACACATGATATACACACAGGGCTATAAATCACTGGACCACTTACTCGTCTTAAATGCCTGACAAGAGACAGAGCCTCCTTAAAAAAAAAAAAAGGAAATGGAGAGACTACATGTCTTAAAAAACTGTTTATCAAGAGACACCACAAAGCAAAACACATGGTAAATATTTGGAGAGATTGGAGATTTAGAGATTACTATTAGCAGGGCTATAGATTCTTGGTAGCACAGTGGATAAGGCTTATGGCTGCTAACCAGAAGATCGGCAGTTCAAACCTACCAGCTGCTCTGCAGGAGGAAGATGAGGCAATCTACTTCTGTAAAGATTTACAACCTTGGAAACCCAATGGGGGTTGCTATGAGTCAGAATCGACTCAAAGGCAGTGGATTTTTTTTTTTTTTTTTAATATATAGATTCTTGGTGGCAGCAGTTTGGCCAAGAAAATCTTTATGTCAAAAGTGTTTAAGAGAAAACTAGAGAGAATTCCAAATGTGCTGACAGGCTCATACAAAACGTCAGGGTGGAGGGGAGGCCTCCATCAAAGCCTGCCTGCCCAGCTGCTCACCCGGCTCTGACCTGGGCGATGGCATAGTCCGAGTTGTTGGTGGCCTGCATGCCCTCGTTTCCACTGATGCCCACGCCCACGTGGGCACACTGGATCATCCCCACATCGTTGGCCCCATCGCCCACAGCGAGGGTAATTGCGCTTACATGACTCTTGACCATTTCCACGATTTCAGCCTTCTGGAGGGGAGATAATCTAAAAAGAACACAGAAACAATGACCTTTCATTTTGCCTCACGTTGTTCTAAAGTCTGTACAGGCTGTTGTTGTTGACTACCACTGAGTTAGCTCTGACTCATGTGACCCACATACAACAGAACAAACGCTGCCCAGTCCTGCACCGTCTTCACAATTGTTGCTCTGCTCAAGTCCACAGCTGTGGCCACCACGTATTTTGAGTGCCTTCCCATCTAGGGGGCCCACCTTCCAGCACTATATCAGATAATATCTTTTTCTGATCCACAGAGCTTTCATCAGCTCCCTGTCAGAAACAGACTGCTAGGCTTTTCTTCCCAGTCTGGAAGCACTACTGAAACCAGTCCACCACAGGTGACTCTTGGTATTTGAAATACCGGTGGCATACATTCTAACATTGTAACAACACTCAAGCCACCACAAGTACAACAAACTGACAGACAAGTGATGGACTCTACATGCCCCCCCAAAAAACAAATCCACTGCCATTGACTTGATTCCAACTCATAGCCACCTCCATTGGGTTTCTGAGGGGGAAAATCTTTACGGAAGTAGATGACCCCATCTCTTTCCACGGAGTACCTGCTGGATTTGAACCATCACCCTTCTGGTTAGGAGTCAATTGCCTTTGGCACTGTACCACCAGAGCTCCCTACTACACTCTACATGTGTTGTTGTTGTTATGTGCTGTTGACTTGGACCTGACTCATAGAGACCCCTGCTTGTGTTTCCGAGGTGGTATTACTATGGAAGTAGATTGCCCAACCTTCCTTCCAAGGAGTGGCTGGTGAATTTGAACCGCCAGCCTTCTCATTAGCAGTCAAGTGTCTTAGCCACATTTAAATGGCAATTACTCGGCCCTATGGAAAAATTAGCAAAATTGGTAAAACCCTAGCTAGATTGATCAAGGAGCACAAGAGAGAAAACCAGAGAGAGAGAAAGACAGAATACGAATTACCAACATGAGGAAGGAAAGAAGGAACATCGTCATGGATTAGATGAATTGAAGTAATAGTGAAAAACTTTATGCCAACAGATTTGAGAACTGTGGACAATGGACAAATTGAAAGACACACAAGTAACCAAAACTGAATCAAAAACTTCAAACTACGTGCTAAAGAAATTGAATTATTAATTAAAAAAACCTCCCCACAAAGAAAATACTAACCCCAGATGGGTTCAACAGTGAATTTTATGAAACATTTCAGGAAAAAATAATACCAATGCTATAGAAATAATTTTTTAAAAATAGAAGATTAAAAAAAAATACTTCTTGATTCATGTTATAAGACCAGAATGATCCTGGTACCAAAGCCTGTCAAATACAATGAAAGAAATAAAACCAGACAAATACCTTTCATGGACATAGACTAAAACCCTTTAATAAAATGTTAGTAGGATGTATAGAAAAATAATAAATGAAATCACAAAATTTTAAAGCCATGAAGAAATTCAGAGACAGTCTGTTTTCCATCTGTGCCACCATACTTTCTTTAAGCTAAACATTTCAGCTAAAAAATATCCCACTACATTATTAGTCGGGGCCGACTCAATGGCACATAACAACAACACCACCATTAAGTTGATTCTAACTCATAGCAACCCCACTGGGTTTCCAAGTCTGTAAATTTTCAGGGAAGCAGATTGCCTCATCTTCCTCTCATGGTGCAACTGGTGAGTTTGAACTTCCACCCTTCTAGTTAGCAGCCAAATGTCTTACCCACTATGCCACCAGAGCTCCTTAAAGATTTCAGCTAACTGCACACCAAATTGTTTTCATCGGTTCAGAATATAGTTCAGTGATGGATTTCAATTTTATATTCATTCACTTTTACTGTTCATTTAATGCAGACATTTAAACTTACAGAGTTAGTAGGTTGGTAAGAATATAAGGTACTGAAATACCAAAACCTAGATTACTGTGCAGTGGTTAAGTCATTGGCTGCTAATGGTCAGGATGGGGAGTTGAACCCACCCAGTGGCTTTGTGGGAGAAAACCCTGGAGATCTGCTCCTGTAAAGATTACAGTGTAGGTGACCCTAGGAGGCAGTTCTACTGTCACGTGGAGTCGCTACCAGTCTGAACTGACTCAACAGCACCCAACAACCCAAGATAATTGAGAGTTAGTATCATGGTTGTGTTTGGCCAACAAGGAGCCCCAGAAGACACTAGAAGGAGGGAGGAGTGTGAGGTCACAGGAGTATTCTGGTTTCTCTTTGTAATGTCTTCCCCAGCTGGTGTGTCTCTCCTGCAAGTCACTGCTCCCCTAGAGGCATCCAGCGCTGCAGGACTCTCTCCTTTCAGTTCCGAAGGACATTTATTTCCTCTTATTCCTTTGTAAATGGACTCTAGGGTCATTTCCACCTTTTGAATATTGTGAATAATGCTGCTATGAATCTTTCAGTTCTTTTGGGTATATACCAGGAATGGAATTGCTGGGACTAAGGCGGATCTGGTGGCGTAGTGCCTAAGGTATTTGACTGCTAACCAGAAGGCTGGCAGTTCAAACACACCAACCACTCCCCAAAAAGAAAATTAGGCAGTCTACTTCCGTAGAGATACTGTCTCGGAAACCCAAGGAGGGGTTGCTATGAGTCAAATCGACTCAACGGCAGTGAGCCGAATTTTGGAAGATGGATTTGAATTCAGCTTTATAACATTTGCAACTCAAAGAGTTCTGACAGAAGACTAAGTCACAGAGTCCTGAAGACTGTATTGAAAACATGACGAGTCGGAGTCCAATAAACACGGAAGTTGCTATGTTTTTAAACTGATGAAGAGCAAAGGGACATCTAACTAAGAAAGAGATTTGACGTTTTCTCTGCTTCATGGATTGGAGAGCATGCTCATAAGAATACTTAGAAGTCTGAGGTATAAATATGTTTTAGCTGTTGTTGTTATGTGCGGTCGAGTCGGACCCAACTCATAGCAACCCCTCCTTGGGTTTCCAAGGCATTATCATTACAGAAATAGATTGCCCAACCTTCCTTCCGAGGAGTGGCTGGTGGGTTTGAACTACCAGCTTTCTGATTAGCAGTCAAGTGCCTTAGGCACTACGCTACCTAAGCTCCTCATGTTTTAGTAGTTGTTCCATTTTAACATCTTGAGGAGAAACTCCTGTATATTAATAGTTTCTCAATTCCAGAATTTTTGTATATTATCTTCATTGTAGATTACCTGCTTTTTACAAATCAAATTTTTGATGCGTACAAATATCTATAATTTCATTCTTCTCCAGTATCAGTGGATGCTTTTGAGTTGCATTGTTGGTGAAGAATACTGAAAATACTCTGCCAGAAGAATGACCAAATCTGTCCTGGAAGAAGTGCAGCCGGAATGTTCTTTGGAAGCAAGAATGGCCAGACTTCATCTCACCTCCTTTGGTCATGTTGTCAGAAGGGACCATTCCCTGGAGAAGGTTATCATGTTTGGCAAAGTGGAGGGTCAGCAAAAAAGGAGAAGGCCCTCAATGAGATGGACTGACATGGGGCCTGCAATGATGGGTTCAAGTGCAGCAAGGACTGAGAGGACAGTGCACGACCGGGCAGTGGTCTGTGCTGTTGTACAGGGTCACTATGAGTCGGAGCCAACTCGATGGCCCCTAACAACAACTAGGTATCAGAGGATTTTTTTTTTTTCCAGATTTTCCCCCCACCAAAAATAAAATGAGGGCCTGTATTCTTGCTGAAGACTTCTTTCACTTTGTCATAGGTCAATAAACAAATCACCATTAAAATTAGAAACTGCTTTCTAGCAATTTTTGGCAATTAAATTTAAGCCTTTTTACTTCCGCTTAATCACGTATTTTCCCAGCAAGGAACTTCTGCCTCTGGCAAAACTTATATTCTATTGCCAAGGTGATATTTTCTTGACCTAAGCAGTATTAAATATAGCAGGAAAAGTACAACAATGACTATGTTCTTACCTACAACATAATACTGCTTTACATGAGAGGGCCAAATTTATGAAGTTCCTCTTAATTTCAAAGGGGAAGACATACTTCAATGTTTCACCATCAATAATTAGAGCCAGGTCGTTTTCTTGACCTAGCAAGGTTCCGAGATCATCACAGTTCTGATTAATTGCTTGTTGTGCTGCCTAAAAGAGAGAAGGGGGAAAAAAATCTCTTCATTTTCCTCATTTCTAATAGACGTGAAAAGACTTCAGAATCAAGATGGTGGATTAGCTATCTGTTGGCCTTATTCTCTTCGAAAACATCACTGAGATGGGATTATAAAAGTGTATCAGTGATACGAAAAGATGTGGGAGAGTGTTCGTCATCAGGGAAAAGCAAACCAAAACCAGAAAGAGGGCTATAATAAAAAAAAAAGAAAACAAGTGTTGGTGAGAATGTGGAGAAATGTGAACCCTCGTACACTATTATTGGGAATGTACAATAGACCAGCTACTTTGGACAATAGTCTGTCAGTTCCTAAACTGATTAAACATTGAGTTATCATATGACTGAGTAAATTCACTCCTCCGTGTAGAATCCAAGAGAAACAATAGCGTATGTCCGGAACACCCATTTTTATTGTTGTTGTTAGGTTCCGTCAAGGTGGTTCTGACTCATAGTGACCCCATGACAGAAGAATGAAACAATTCTCAGGCCTAAGCCATCCTCACAATTCTGCTATGCTTGAGCTCATTGTTGCAGCCACTGTGTCAATCCATCTCACTAAAGGTCTTTCTCTTTTTTGCCAACCCTCTACATCCCCAAGGGACTGGTCTCTCCTGATAACATGTCTACAGTACATGAGACAAAGTACATGAAACACTCATGTTAAGAGCAAAAGTATTTTCAGAAGGCAGGTGGTTCAAACCCACCAGCCACTCCTCAGAAGGAAGACTGGGCAATCTACTTCCATAGAGATATTGCCTCGGAAACCCAAGGAGGGGTCACCATGAGTCGGAACTGACTCAACGGCAGTGAGTTTGTTTGTTTGTTTCTAAGGGTGGAAAGAACCCCAGTGTTCATCAACTGACAAACAGATAAACAAAATGTGGTAGATCCATACAATGGACCAGCATTCAACCACAAAAAGGAATGAAGTACTGAGGCATGCTACAACACAGATGGACCTCAAAGATGTTATGTTGAGTGAAAGAAGCCAGACACACAAAAGGCCAAATATTATATGATTCGATTTATATGAATTGATTAGGCAAAACTAGATGGGGCAATCTACTTCTGTAGTGATACTGCCTCGGAAACCCAAGGAGGGGTCACTATGAGTCGGGTCCAACTCGATGGCACGTAATAACAACAACATCATAGAGCTAGAAAGGAGATTGTTTGAACCACCAGCCTTCTGGTTAGCAGTCAAGTGCCTTAGGCACTATGCTACCAGAGCTCCTAGCAAAGGAGATTAGTGGTTGCTTAGAGCTAGGGTAGGATTAGGGGGTGAGGTGGGTACAGAGAAGTGTTGGCTAAAGGAAGCAAGGTTTCTTTCAGAGATGATAAAAATGTTCTAAAATTAGATTGTGATGATGGTTACACAACTCTGGATACACTAAAAGAAACTGAACTGTAAACTTTAAATGGGTGAGTTGTATTATATGGAAATTATAGCTCAGTAAAGCTGTTTTTTAAAGACCGTGTAAGTAAGAATTAACGTACATCAATATTGGAGATTATGGAAGGGTACTAAGAGAAAAATAGAAATTCTAGAGAATTTTTTGAAAATATTTAAAAGACAAGACCAGAACAATGGAGGGAACATCTGCACAACTGAGGGCCAGGGTTTCTAAGAGAGAAAATATAGTTTAGAGATTCACCTCTCAACTTATGTAGAAAGTTTATGAAGAGGCCCTGAGTGGTGCAAATGATTAAGCACTAGACTACCAGCCAAAAGGCTGCTGGTTCAAAGCCACCCAGAGGCTCTGTGGAAACAGGCCTGGCAATCTGCTTCTGAAAGGTCGCAGCCTGGAAAGCCCTATGAAGCAGTTCTCCTCTGTGCACACGGGTTTGCCATGAGTCAGAAAAGACTGGATGGCAACTAAGAACAACAGGAAGTTGGTATGTTTCTAGAGATTTGTTCTCTTCTGATTTCTTATCTAATTTGTTGACATATGGTTGTTCCTGTCGTTGTTATGTGCATCAAGTTGGCCAACTCATAGTGACCCCTCCTTGGGTTTCTGAGGCAATATTTCTACGGAAGTAGATTGCCCCATCTTCCTTCCGAGGAGTGGCTGGTGGGTTTGAACCACCAGTCTTCTAGTTAGCAGTCAAGTGCCTTAGGCACTACCAGAGCTCCTATGGTTGTTCCTAGTATTCACTTAAAATCTTTTTTTAATTTCTGTAGGCTCAGTTGTAATGTCTCTACTTATATATCAAATTTTGGGTGTTTGGCTCTTCTCTTTTTGTGCTTTTTTTCTAGCAAAAGTTTTGTCAATTTTATTAATCCTTTCAAAAAACCAATCTCTGGTTTTACTGATAATCTCTATTGTTCTTCTATTCACTATTTCATCTGGCTCTGCTCTTTTTTTTTTTTTTTTTTTTCTCCTTCCTTCTGTTAGCTTTGGGCTTGGCTTTCTCTTGTTCTAGCTCCTCAAGTTGTAGGGCTAGGTTATTGATCTGAGACCTTTCTTCTTTTTTAACATAGCTGTTTACCACTGCAGGCGCTCTGGTAGCGTAGCACCTAAGGCACTTGACTGCTAACCAGAAGGCTGGAGGTTCAAACCCACCAGTCAATCCTCAGAAGGAAGGTTGGGCAATCTACTTCCGTAGTGATATTGCCTTGGAAACCCAAGGAGGGGTCATTATGAGTCGGGTCTGACTCGACAGTACATAACAACAACAACATTTACCACTGTAGAAATACGGCCTCGGAAACCCAAGGAGGGGTCACTATGAGTCAGAAATGACTCAACGGCAGTGAGTTTGGTATTTCTGGTATTTACCACTATTAATTTTCCTCTGAGCCCTGCCTTGTCTGTATCCTGTAAGTCTTCTGATATTGTGTATTCATTTTAATTCAACTCTAATTATTTTCTTATTTCTCTCTTGATTTCTTCTTTGACATACTGTTTTTTTTTTTAAATAGTATGTTGTTTAATTTCCTCATATTTGTGTATTTTCCAGTTTTCCTTCTATTACTAATTTCTAGTTTCATTCCATTGTGATAGGATAAGACACTTTGTATATTATTGTATTGAGACTTGGTTTGTGACCTAAAATAAGGTCTATCCTGGTGAATGATTCATGTGCCCTAGAAACAAATGCATATTGTGTTCTGCTGGGTGGACTATTCTATATGTTTGTTAGGTCTAGTTGGTTTATAGAATTGTTTAGTTCCTCTATATCTTTATTGATCTTTCCAAATGTTTTGTCCATTACTGAAAATGGTATATAGATAGTCCCTGACTTATGATGTATTCAAGTTACAATGAACTGCATTTATGACCATCTTTTTTTTTGTACATCTTATTGTTAGTAATCTATAGTACATACAATGTTGCAGCATGTAATTTGCTGATGTTATCATTCTCGTTTCAACTCCTAAAGACAAATAAAGATCAGATTTATAAAGATATTGGTAATAAAAGGCAATTAATAATGAGAAAACAAAATAGGTAATTTGCTGATGTTATCATTCTTATGTCAACCCTTAAAGACAAATAAAGACCAGCTTTATAAAGATACTGGTAATAAAAGGCAATAATTATGGGAAGAAAGAAAAAAAGAGGTTATTCAACTTACATCAGAACTGACTCAGGACAGAGTCACTGGAATGGAGTCCTGTCTTAAGTGGGGGACCAACTGTATTAAATTCTGAAACTATTACTGTAGAACTGTCTGTTTCTCCCTTCAGTTCTGTCAGAGTTTGCTTCACATATTTTGGGGATCTGACATGAGAGGCATACATATTTATAATTGTTATATCATCTTGGTGAATTGACCCTTTTATCACCTTTCTTTGTCTCTTATAACAGATTCTGACTTAAAGTTTATTTTGTCCGACATTAAAGTCACCAGCCCAGTTCTCTTTCGGTTACTATTTGCATGGATTATGTTTTCCATCCTTTCACTTTCAACATTTTTGTGTCTTTGCGCCCAAGATGCATCTCTTGTAGGATGAATGCATAAAGTTGGATCATACTTTTAAATCTTTCTGCTGCTCTCTGCCTTTGATTGATGCATTTAATACATTTGCATTCCTGGTATTTACTACTTAAGAAGGACTTATTTCTGCCATTTTGTTACTTGGTTTTTATATATTTTAAACCTTCTTTGTCCCTCCTGTCCTCCAACTATTGCCAATATTTCTGTTTTGTTGGTATTTTATAATAAGCCATTTATAGTCCCTTCTGCTTTCCTTATATATGTATTTTTAGTTATTTTCTTCAAGATTAGTATAAGAATTACATTTAACATTTTACATTTATCACACTTGGTTTTAACTGGTATCAATTTAACTTCAGTAACATACAAAAACTCTATTCCTGTTCCATTTGGACCCCTCTCACCTACTATATTTTATGTATCATGTGGCCTGTAACATACATATATGCATTTGTCATTATAAACTGTGAAGACCATAACAACTAAAATTACTAACCCAAAATACCTTAAAAGTGGTCCTTATACTAGCTCATGAAATCCCCATTAATGGAGATCTTTTTTTTCTATGTATTGATTTGAATTATACTCTAGTGTTCTTTCTTTTCCATCTGAAGGACTCCCTTTATCATTTCTTGTTAGGGAAGGTCTAGTGGTGACAAACTCCCTCAACTTTTCTTTACCTGGGAACATCTTACTTTTGCCCCCATTCTTTAAGGACATTTTGCCAGATATGCTATTCTTCGTTGACAGTGCTTTTCTTTCAGCTCTTTAAAAAATCTAATTCCACTGTCTTCTGGCCTTTAAGTTTTCTGAGGAGAACTGGCATTTAATCTTATTGGGGACCATTTGTATGTGACAATTAGCTTCTCCTTTGTTGCTTTCAAGATTCTCTTTATTTTTAGATTTTGTGTCTCATTGGGGATCTCTTTGAGCTTATCCTACTTGGAGCTTGCTGACATTCTTGAATTTTCAGATTCATGTCCTTTATCAGATTCAGAAAATTTTAAGCTATTATTTCTTCAAATATTC